CGTCGGCGGAAACTTACCCACGTCTCTCGTTCCGATGCGCCGCAAAGTACTTCATTGAAAACCGCAAAAAAAAAAAGAATCACATTAACTCGGAGACTAAAATTAAAAGCCTGGAAAGAAGTTTTATTCAACATCTTGGGCGCTTTTAGTCCTTTTATAAAAGTGGCGAATTTAGGGTACACCTACACAAATATACACAATATTAGGTCGCGTCATAACCGACATGACCTTTGCCCTTGATATTCGATCAATCACCATGGTAACACGTATGTAAAAAGTCAAACAACAACTCTTATGATATAACGGCAAAACGCGTCTTGGGTCTTAAAATTGGCCTTTAAAATATAAGATTTAGAAGAAAAGTGGCGAATTTAGGGCCCCCTCCGTTATATATATAATTAATCGTGATCTGAACTGCATTATGTATATGTTTCAGTGCCAGGTGTAAGGCGGAATGGAAGGAGGTGGAATGAAGAGAGGTGGAGAATTTGGGGTGTGGAATGGGTCACTGGGGATGGAATGTGTGGGGTACGGGTTATGTGGGTGGATTGGTGTGGGATAGTGGAAAGAATGGAGGGAGAATGTGTAGTGGATGGTCTGGGGAGGGATGACATTGAGTGCAATGGGGATAGGGGTGAGTAGGTAGCGGGGTGGGGACATGTGGGGAAAATCACTGCTAAAACAAAAAACAAATCTAGGAGAATTTAGAGTGAAGCAAATACCCTTTCTGGGGCGTGTGGAGTACTTCCCTCCCGTTCCAAAAGGAGGGGCGATATGGATAAAGGTGATGACGGGTAGCAAAGGTACGAACTAACAACTCAAAAACAAAAAGGGGGGGGGGAACCAACCTCGAGGTCGTCCTCGTCGCTGTCCGACTCCGAGCTGGAGTCGGCGTGGCTTCGCCTCGGGTGTTGTTGGCGGGGCTCCTTGGGCCGCGCCCCGTTGTCTGGGGTTGCGGCGGGGCGCTTCTCCTGGGGTGCCGGACGGAGTGGGGGCTGGGGGTGCGTCCTCTACCAGCGTGACGGCGGCCTGGGCCGCGTCCTTGGCCGCCTGGTCTTGTCGGACGGGCTGGGCGTCCATGGTGCTGTTGGCAGTCAGGATGGTGAAATGCGCCAATCTGACGATGGATGCCTGCTCCTTGGGCGGGAGGCCCGCCATCTCTAGGATGGTCTCTGGGTCCTCCCCGGTAAGTCGCTGAAGCCTCTCGCCAATCTCCTCTCTATTCAAGGTGTCGAGAGCCACATCCTTGGTGAAACGGGCTCGTAGTGGTTCATCGGGAAGATCTTCCTCACCGCGGACCTTCTTCACCAACTCAAAGAGGCCTCGCCCCACCAAGGAGGCGTCCGCGCGCAGAACGTGTTCCATCGTGTCCGAGGAGGTCTGACTGGTCGGACGCGCGAAACCCGAGTGAAGGGACATGTGGTGGGTTCTGTATCTTACCCCTTACTACGCGCAAAGCGTCTCGGGACAGTGGAAAGAATGGAGGGAGAAGGTGTAGTGGATGGTCTGGGGAGGGATGACATTGAGTGCAATGGGGATAGGGGTGAGTAGGTAGCGGGGTGGGGACATGTGGGGAGATGAGATGTAATGATCTGTGTGCAAGAAAAGAATTCCACACATATGAGAAGTATTGTTGATGTTATTAGACTCATATAACAATAATGGAGTTTGAGGTTGTTAAATAACCATATATATTTTCGCCTATGTAGTATCCATAAATTGCTTTAAATACATTTAATGTTTTATGTTTGGCTGTCTTACCAGTGATGGTGGCCGTAGAGATGGCAGCCATTGTGGTGGATGTGCCCGTGGCTGCATCGTGTACTGAATTGTGATAGAGCATAAGAATTGGTTATTTACCTCCATGAAATTGGCGGTATTGTTTTGGGCCCGTCTGTGTACGTGTATGTATGTGTGTGTGTGTGTGTGTGTGTGTGTGTGTGTGTTTCTCATATCTCCATAACGCCTACGTGGATTGTGTGGATAATGTACTGAACATAAACTGTAAACAGTCCGCACCATACCGAAAGAAGACGCATGGATCACAAGTTATTGTTATTTTTGCATAAATGCGGATTCTTAAAAGTATTTATAGGGCTAGATAGAAATTGTACTACTGTACTTAGGTCAAGATCAACACGAATCAAACCCGAAAAGGTTCCTCATGTGTTAAAAAAGTTTGTCTCTACCTGTGGCTGTTGCCATTGCGGTTACCGATGATTGAGCCACGGGCACTTCCAGAGATAGTAGAATGTCTGCAGGAAGAAAAAGTAAACATGTATATCACATAGCTCATCTATTGATATGTTTGAGATATTTCGGTAGTAGTGGTAAATGTACGACGTGTATATAACTTAACTGGGATGTAAAACAAGTTAGCATGGAGGTATAATCCTAATGCAGGGCGTATTAATAGTACTCACCTTCTAATTCTGTTGGGTCCCAGTCAAGGACTGAAATGGATAGAGAATGTAGTTAACCATTGCAACACTGTATGTAATCTGTATGCCTCTATACCATATACTATTCGAATGACGCAAGGACCAGAAATTGTGTAATTTTGTATACCACGAAGTCTTAAAATGGTAACCGTAAAGCGAAATATCAGGCATTTTGTCCTAATATTTGTACGCAGGTCAGTCTCATGTTTATTGATTGTGTGGGTAGGTTGCACTTAAAAAATGGCTAATAGCTATCTAGATTTCAAATAAAAGGTAATGTAACGTACGGTCCAGGTTGTCGAAGCCGGTGACTGAAGAAGTAAGCAAAAGCTAGTTAGTATTATAATGACAATTGTGCGCCATTAATTTGTAAGACTATTACACAATTTGGTTAAGACAAAAGAAGGGTCGGAACGGTGGTATGAAGATTATATACGTACTATCGAGGGTGTTCAAGTCCAGCTTAGGTAAATGATAAGTAAATGTTATTGGCATTGCCAACGATTTAGGATGCAAATGTAGAATTGATTCGAATAAGATCGGAATTTAAGATATGGCCTCCAATAGTTGGGCGTGAACAAAGTAAGAGGATATGGAAGTTACCATCCACGTCTAGGATGTCCAGGCCAGAAACTGGAAATAAGTAGCGTTATACTTATATATATAGAAATCTTAGAGTACTATGATACAGAATATGAAGGGATAAGCCTTGAGTAAGAAGTACAGCAAATGTTAACCACTTACGATCAAAGCTGTTGAGCATTAAATCCCGGACTGTAAATACAAGGGTTTTATAAATTAATAACACTTAAAAGAGGAGGAATGAACAATAGATAGAAATTATTCATTTATGGTTATTGATATAAATTGATAGGTGACTTAACATACCATCTGCATCTCCTGCTTCTGGGTCTGTTAAAAGGGAAAAGGACGATGTTAATTATTTATTGGGTCGTTGTCACCGCTTTTGTATTTCATGGTGTAGTTCATAATGTGGTTGATAAAATAGGGGATCAGGCGTAAGCACTGCTTACATGTGATGTGCGTTAAATTCAAGAAACATCTTGTTTACGTTCTACAATGAATTGCAGTGTAGTTACAACACATTTCTGAAAGTATATTGCAAGTCAATATGAGGTCACGGTGGTGTGCCAGGCTCAGCGGTGTGCTCACGTTTGGAACTTGTTGCAGTGTTCGCAAGAGATGTTTCTATGTTGAAATATGAAGACAGAGCTGGCTATGTTCTGTTTTAGTTACTGCGACTTATATAATGCTCTCTTGAACTTTCTAGCAGAAAAACCACACCATGTGCAGACGTAAATCATGCACATTTCTACAACATGTCACACCGTTGCGGGTCACTGCTCTGTTGGCATTTCGCTATAAAGCACTGGTGTTTATACAACGCCGTGCAGACATACAACGCCATCTGTGTCCGCGCGGCCATAAAGTGAACGTGCAACGTTTTGGATATATATCACGATTTATTACTTTGCAACCCCCTCAACAAAACGACTTTGGAAACTCGCCAATAACCAGTTACTGAAGCAACTTCACACTCAGAGGCACCCCAGTGCTAACGTACAAAAAAAATTGCAGACCCACGGTTAACGGCTAACCGCTGGCCAGTTTGGGAGTTGAAAAACGACAAGTACAACGAAAATTAAGAGCAGGAAAAAAGGCTAATACCAATAAATCCACAGGTAACTATGATAGAAATTCCAAAAACCTCCAGGTCCCAAAAAACGTTAGAGAAGTACGCCAATGCATAGCCAGCGGACAAGAAATGCGGAAGGAAGGAATCTGTTATAACCGTCGGTCGCAAAATGGTGCTTCTCTGACCGACTAATTTCCTAGGTATAATTCCTTTATTCGTCCAATTTCTACTATTTCCCTGCGATCCGCGGTGCCTGGTAGAGGCTACAAATACTGAGCGATCATTGGCAAATACATCTGACCCGGCCAGACCCCTGCTTATTTAAATACTTCGTGTCAAATGTGGTATTGGTCTGGAGCCCAGGCTAGATATGCTTGAGGTCTTGGCAGAACTCCAGGTAAAACCGTTAATACTATATGCCAATATGTACACAACCGTCAAATAGACATACCAAGGAATAGTGCCAGTTACTAGGTACGAAAGCGCGTACAATTTAGAGACCTGTCCGCTGATAATTCGTTTTCACCCAGCTAAAGAAGAGAGCATTGAGAACACGCCAAAAAGCAACTTACAAACATAACACCTTTCCTGATTAAGTGTAGTTACCATAACTAAACCTTTTCAAAACGCTCGTATTTCGGATCAGTGAAAGAAAACCCAGAAGTGGAATATTTATCGAACAGAACAAAATCAACAGCCGTATTAACAATATGTATCTAATTAATATCGGTGTACCGTCCAGAACGCCAAAGTAACCACTAACTTCAAATCTCACGAAACTTTCGAAAAACGACAAGTACATCGTGTAGGCATTTCAACAAACACGTCGTGGTCAGCCAAAATCCCCCACACGGCGTCCTCCTAATTCTGCCGCAAAGTACTAGTATCGTATCCAAAAACGTCCATCGCAAAACGGCAGTGGGCAGAAAATCCGCAGAAGCCTTGACAGCGATCGTCCCCCCATTAGAACTGCTAATATCTTGTCAAAATCAATTTATTTACTGCTAACTTGGCACTTTTGAGACACTAACAGAACATTTTGAGTCGTGTTCAAAGGTTGGCATCCATGTGTTGTCCTAATTCATAACTTTAGTGTCTTTCATAAGGGGGGACCAAAAATCCCGGGATATTTGGGTACCCCCATTTCAATTGACAGTCTTTTCTTAACACCACTTTACTTACTGCAAACTTGACAAATATGAGACACCAACAGAACATTTTGAGTCGTGTTCAAAGGTTGGCATCCAACAATGGCAACATGCTGTCATATTTAATCACTTTAGTGTCTTTCATAAGGGGGGGGGGACGAAATATCCCGGGATATTGGGTACCCACATTTCAACTGACAATCTTTTCTAAACATCACTTCACTTACTGCAAACCTGATAAATTTGAGACACCAACAGATCATTTTGAGTTACAGGGACCAACTAGGAAGAAAATATATCTTTTATTGAGCATTTTGGAGTTGATTCAGAACCTGAAATCTTGCATATCAGGAGATGAAGAAGGCTGAGCCGCATATATTAAGGAAGGGTATAACAGAATTATAGTGTATCTATTCCTGTACCGACTTACAATTCTGAATTTTGTTGACTTCAGTTTGTTCCTTAAAGTATGCACAAAAAGCATTCGTAAAGATTCGTGACGAATGGTGTTAAAACGCGTATATTTAAGATGTAACGTTATCTAAGTAGTTACATTCAAGATTGCTTAAGGTGGGACAAAACACTTTCAATTGATACTGTAGAACATTATCAATTCCAAACTAACAACCAGTAATAGCTGCAGTTACAAAACTAACAATTTGACTTGAATGTACAGTCAGTATAGAAATAGTTTCAGGCACCTAGGTTTGTATTGGCGGAACGTTCATGCCAGCGCTGCTTTCAAACAATACAGACACAATGTATACTTTAGGCTCTGAAGACCGAGTATTACACCCAAATGACCTGAAATTTGGTACAAGGGTGCCTCGAACATATGCCCAATGAATGTCATTCATATTTTTTGGCATATACCAGTGGAAAATTGAATAGCAATCCTGAGACTGCCACGCCCCCTTCTTCGCCTCTTGCCTCTCCCCACAGCACCACCCCTCTGTGGGGTGGGGGCTTCCTCACACTTACTTCCACTCCAGTCTCTGCCACGCCCCCGTCCTCGCCCCCTTCCTCGCCTCCTGCCCAAAGCACCACCCCTCTTCTTGGCTGGGGTCCTCGTCTTGAACCGCCTGCACAACAAACAACATGTCAACTCAATTCTATTTCAAGAAATCTGAAGAAACGGGTCTTTGTTAGCCGCTCACGCTCGTCTTGAACCGCCTGCACAACAAACAACATGTCAACTCAATTCTATTTCAAGAA